GCTGTTGTGATCCAAGAGATGATTGGCTGCGAATCGGCGGGAGTTATGTTCACTTGTGATCCGATTACCGGCGATGAGAGGGTTATTGAGATTACAGGCAATTATGGATTGGGAGAAGTGAGTGAACAATACATACAATACAATACAGTATAACATGTTTTGCTATATATTAATGCCATTGAATTGAATACAGTCTGTGGTCTCCGCGTCTTCAGAACCCGACACAATCAAAATGTCCACAAATATTGAGTCCAACTCTTTGTCCAAACGAAGACATATTATTGGCATTGAATCCAAAGTCATCGGAAAGAAGAAGACTTTAATCAGACTATTAGAAAATGGAGGCACTGTTGAGGAAGAGGTCATTGATAACAACAACTGTTGTATTACTGATGAAGATTTGCTACGTTTGGGAGATATTGGACTTCAGGTATTTTTTTGTTTATAATTATAATAATTTTATTCATTAATTAATTTTATTTTTCAGATTCATAAACATTATGGAAATGCAAGAGATATAGAATGGGGTCTAAAAGGGGGCCAAATATTTATGCTTCAGTCGAGACCCGTAACTAATTTAGACAACTCTTACACCGATTACGAGATTATGCATGAATTGGATTCTTCACATCCAACAGAGTTTGAAATTTACTCTCGAGCCCATTGGGGTGAGAACTTTCCCGGTTCATCATCATGGATTTGTTTGCAGTGGTTTTGGGCCAATAAAACTAATTTTTTCGTAAGTATACTTTTAATGTTAACATGAATATCATTTAATATATTTATAAATATTTAATAATAATAATTTAAAATAATAAATGTTTATCAATAATATTTTACTGTTAATAGCGTCAGGAAATACTAAACGGAACATCGATTGACGAGGATTACAATCCGTTCTTTGAAGTAATGGGCATTCAATACAATCAAGTGATGTTCAATCTAAGCAGTGTAAGTTTGCTTTCTTATTGATACTGTAATGTTATTTCTAATTGTATTAATAATTGAAATCTTACATTTTTGTTCAGGGTCCATTTAATTTTTTTGCGGGTTACCCGGAGTCAAAACAGGCGCAGTCTATGGTATTAGCGATGTTTGGCCATCAGATCGACGACAAAGATGTCCTCCAATTATTCCGCAGAAAACAAATGGAGGACAAGAAGCCGTCACTGATAGGAAAAATCCGGATGTTTTCATATATTATACATTCCCTACTTTTTGGACCCAAAAACTTGATTAAAACAAAAGAGGAGACAATTGAGAAGAATAGGTACGATTTGGTCGACATTTTAAAACATAAATCCAACAGTAAAGACATATTCAATACAATTTTGGACAATCAGTTTTTTATAACAAACACGGCGTTGAAAAATCACGGCCCGGTCTCTATGGGGTCGGGATTTAAAAATAGCATTTTGAAAGCAGTTCTTGAATCATCGACAGGTAATCTATGGTTAAATAGTTTTCACAAATTAATTATATAAAGTTTATAACTATAAATATTATTTTAACAAAAGATAATAATAACAACGTTGAAGACGATTATAACCTAATGATATCTTCGGCGACAAATGTGATCAGTGCTGAAGTGCCAAAAATGTTGAGTGAAATCGCAAAGTCTATTAAAGACAAGCAATGGTTCCGACAATTGAGTGATGAGGAAGCGCTTCAAGTGTTGACCACTGGAAGCGATGAGTCCTCACAGAAGTTTAGATATTTTATTGAAAGACACGGACACAGAGGGTATCGGGAATTGGATCCCATGTATAAACCATGGAAAGGCAATCCATTGCCTTGTATTAAAACTATTAAAGTATTTATATTTTAAAAAGAATTTTATAGTATAACATATATTTTATGAATTCCCTATGTTTGAAATATGTTCACTATATTGCTGTGTTATTTATACTCTATTCAAGTGCTGCTCATATATAGTGTATCTGAATCAGATTAGTGGGGTTTAAACATGTTTTTTTTAATAAAAACTAATATTTACTCATAATATAATTTTTGATACAAAAACAGGGCATACAATGACTATAAGAAGTGTAACGATTAGAGTGAATAAAACTTTGCAAATTATCAAGGTAGTGCATACAACACGTCAAGTTATAAAGAACATTAGGGAATTCCTAATATATTTTATTATAAAAACAAATTAATAACTTTGTTTGTACTCTAATTATAGACTATATTATCGGGAAATGAATCACAATTTGACTCAAAGATTGAAAAATCTGTCGAAGAAGTTGTGAATGGATTAAAGACACCGTTGACTACATTCAAGAAACTTCTGTTAAAACAAGTATTGCTTCCGTGGACTCGAAGAGGGATTGGATATCGAGAGCTATCGAAATATTTCATGATTTGGATGAATAACAAATGCAGAGAAGGGTTTTGGCATTTGGCTCAACAAATGACTAAAGAAGGACTCATACCATCGGTGGACACATTCTTCTATTTGACTGTGACTGAAGTGGAAGCGCTATGTAATGGACAAAGAGATCCATTGATATTCTCGAGAGTAAGACAACGGCGAAGACTTTATCCAAAAATGGATAAATACAAGTTTGAAGAGTTTATTAAAGGGCCAGAAATGAAACCCAGAAATGTATGCATTAATCATAGAATTATTGTAAATATTTTTCTATTATAAGTTTTAATTGATTTACTGTTTTAATAGTTTGAGGACCGGATTATACCTCCAGTTCTGACCTCAGGTATGGTTCAGATGACGGGAACTCCTGTTAGTAACGGATCCATAAAAGCGAGGGTTTGTGTGTCTGAAGACATTACAGAAGCCGATAATATTCAGGTAATTATTAGTTATAATTAATTTAAATAAATGTATTACAATATGTCTGCTGTGCTGAATAGCCGGGCGATATTCTGATCACGTACTCGACGGACATCGGTTGGAGTCCATACTTCCCATTACTTTCGGGTATAATCACAGAAATCGGTGGAACGATATCTCACGGGGCAGTCATTGCCCGCGAATACGGNCGGTTGGAGTCCATACTTCCCATTACTTTCGGGTATAATCACAGAAATCGGTGGAACGATATCTCACGGGGCAGTCATTGCCCGCGAATACGGGATCCCGAGTCTGATAGCAGTGGAGGGCGCGTGTCGTGCCTTCAGGACCGGCGATATCTGTCTATTGGACACTAAGACACAGACCATCACTAAAGTCGAGTGAATAGTTTATACATAATTAATAAGTTAATTGTTTTAATAGAAATATAAAATATAATATTAATCATCATTTACATTTTTAACAATTAATTTTATAGTAACTATTATATTTAATTATAAACAATAAATTTTATATTTCTATAATACATAATATTGTAAAACTTGCAAATAAATTATTTGAAATAATTTATAAATAATTCATGAAATACATGAATAAATGTTTACATTTTTGTCCAAAGTTTGTATAAATATTAATATAACAACTTTTAAAATTAATTAAAACTAAATAAAAATATTAATTGAAATGCAATAATTAATCAAATGTAAACTTAATTAACAAGTAACATTTATCTTTGGACTCGAAATTGATATCAAATGATATCAAAAATCAGTACAAAATACATTAAATGTCAAGAATTTAGATACAAATATGAAATAGCGTTAATCAAAATCATAGACTTGTAAATAAGTATTAAAACTCTTATTGTTGTACTTTATACCGAATAAATGTTTTATCATTCCTACTTTAGCTATAACAAAGGTTATACTGAAATATACTTTTGGTAACGCCACACATCTTATTATTTTGATATACGCGGATTAATATTGAAATATATGGCAAATATTATATCAGAAAGTTGTATAAAGTACAGTGTATTGATATATAGAATTGGTTATTGTGATTACTTAATGCAATCAATACTACTTTACAGTAAAGTATATGTAATGCCATTAGTTTTACTGATAGTGACGTCATATAGTTTTTCTTATCGGTGCAACAAATGTCAAACTGACGCTACTTTTCATAACTTTTTTCATATTATACTTAAAGTATAAATATCGAGACATTTCAATACAGAATTATTCAAAACAACTTCATACTTGAGTTTATCTTAAAGTTTTATATAAAGTATTCAATTAGCAGTTATAATAATGTGGCTCTTAGTCTCGATACCTGTAATATCGGTATATCTGAACAAATTATTGTCACTAAACCGTGAGATCAATGGCCAGTGGTTTACATATTTGACTCAATTCTGGAAATTATGGTCAAAAAGAAGACAACAGAAGACGAATCGAGTGATAACTCATGACGTCTGGAAGGAAAACATTAACGACACAGGAATTCTTCCTTTTCCTCACGAATGGGAGTATGATTTGCCGACTCAGGTATGGCTTAAACTTATTCCTCATTTCATATTTTAAGTAATTTATATAATTAAAGTAACATATTTTGTTGCATATAATTTTGTGTAAATAATTTGTACAATTGCGTGCAATTATACTCACATATAGTTAGTGATAAAATTAATTACCACAATTAAAAGAGTGTCTTATTTATAAATTAATTAAATTGCATTTTGCAGTTAAATTGATGATATTCATATTGCATAATATCTTGCTCTTTTGATTATTATATTTAAGACATGTAAAAATATTAAGTACCGTAATAAATAATTTACTTTATATAGTTGTAAAAGTTTATAGTAAAATAATATCACATTAGTAAAAATTTAATAAACTAATTTCAATAAATCATAGCTAAAACAATGAATTTTAAAAAGTATAATATAAGTTCCAAAAATACTAATAGTTATATTACAGTTATAAATATATGAATTGAATTGATATGAATTGAATTGAATATTATATGAATTGTATAGTTTATATAGAAATAAGTTATTAAATAAATAATATGAGTAAAGAATAAATAAATATGTTCAATATTATTAAGTTTATAAAAAAAAGCAAGGTAAAATACAAACAACCTGCAAAATCTTATATTTATCATTTAATCAGTTAATTTAGTTTTAGTTAAACAATTATTGACTTAAATAATAACTAAATTTTGTATTTATTTATAAAATTAGACAAAACCCGAGGATTTGTTGATATATGGCGTGAATTCTGGAAAACAAAGCATTTATATTGCAATCAAATGGAGACCAAAAGGAGTGAACGATAAGATTAATGCAACCATTAGTTTGAGATTTGATGACAACAACAGTAATAGCTATACATTAGAGGAGGACTCGGAGGNAACCATTAGTTTGAGATTTGATGACAACAACAGTAATAGCTATACATTAGAGGAGGACTCGGAGGTCGAGTACCGGAGCAATGAATACAGAGTGTGTGGACTCGGCTTAGAGATTATGTCACCCTTTAGAAGAAAACGCATTAAGTTTAGGGGATATCTCACAAAGAATAACAAGGATTTAGTTTATGTAAGGTTTAGATTCTTGTGGTACTCCATCTCAAGAGTTGCAGATTTTACACATGATTTCAACGATCACTTTATGGCCAAAGAGATGATGAGATCCAAGAATAGAGACAATGAAATTGTGGATCAATTAGAAGACCGTTTCGAACAATTCGGACAAATGAAAGGCAATTTCAAAGAAGATATGGAAGAAGAGAAACAATTATACTTTTGGGGATCTATTAGTAAAAAGTTTCTCAAAACTAAACAAACGAATAGAACTATAAAAAGGATTATTGGATACACTAAAGAAGGTATGATTAAAAATTAACAAACAATTTGAATTTATATATAAATTTTAATTAATAACTAAAGACTTTATTTAACTTAAAAAACTTTATTTATTTCAAGGCATTGGCTTTCATTTGGCATTAATTTCTAATAATAATGGATATGAATATCGGTTTGGATTTTTGTTTAACATAAAGGGACACCTTTTAAAACTTATGGACTTAACTATTAATAAACAAAACTTTAATGAATTGATGGAAAAGAAATTAATTCATTTTAAGGCAACGTTTGATGAAAAGGATTACAACTTTATAATAGAAAGCAATGAAAATAGTTTTGCAAAAAGACTTTTAATCAATGAATTCGAGGGAATGTGTTATATATTAGACGAAAATGAGACACAAATACAGGAATCAATCAAAACAAACAAATCATTAGCAAATGATTTGTCACTTGTTTTGGGATTCAATGAATTGAATGCAAAACGCGTTGACTTAAGTGGAGGTAAAGGAAGTTCTTTAGCGGTTCTCAAGAGTTTGAGTGAAGATTTGGTTAAAGAGAAGTACGAAAACACATTCAATGTTCCGAATGGTGTTATTGTGACCACAAATGCTTATCAAAGACTTCTTCGGGAACACAACGATGTGTTGAAAGGCATTCAAGACTTGGAAAAGTCGACTGAATTGTCGACAAAGGAATTGAAGACTAAATGCGAGAATTTAATGGACTTAATATCGAGTCATAAATTACCTGAAGATATAAAACACGAAATAAAAGTGAAATTAAGTGAGAATTTTAGTGATTATGAGAAGAGATTATTTGCCGTCAGATCTTCGGGCGCTTCGGAGGACTCGGAGGAGATGTCAGCCGCCGGACAAATGACTACATATTTAGGAGTGAAAGGATTGGATGAGATGTACTCATCAGTGATGAAGTGCTGGTCTTCACAGTTCTCTCACATCGCATACGAGTATAAGAGAGGTTACGGACAGACCATTAATACCCCGATGGCTGTTGTGATCCAAGAGATGATTGGCTGCGAAT